TTTCACGGGCAGGGTGCACCCTATGCGGATTTACTTGGAGCAATACTTCCCAAAAAATCGAAGTCGGCTTTGAAAAGCTTGTGCAACTTATTTGTTTAGCTTTGTTCATGTAACATGAGTGCAAAGTTGTGAGACGAGTGCAAATAATAAATAGCGCGCGCGCTGTCAAAATTTCGTTTGTCTTGACCTTCTGTGATGCTTTTTTTCTTGTTTATTATACCCATTTTTAAATCACTGGTGGTCCCTGTAATCTGATTGGTTCTAATCGATGCTATTTATTAACGAATCGCACCATTTTTTGCTTTAAATCGCATCTTTTTCCCAGCCAATGAGGAGGCTAAACTAAAAACAAAACAACCAATCAGATTTTAAGGCTTGTTTAACCGATCAAATTTCAGGAAAATGAAAGACAAAGAGTATCATGTGGCAATTTTGCAACTTTTTTTTTTCTTAACTCTTACTTTTGCCCCCCAAGAAATGGACATGAATTTAATTTCAGATCGGCTCAGTACTGCATCAATAAAATATTTGAACTGACTAAGTCCTGTATTTAGGCGATTTCAAAATGGATGTAGTAAAGTGGTAATTGAACCTCGTCTCGTTCAATTTTGGTGTGAAATCATATATGTGATTTCAAATCGAACGAGCACTGCACGCCCGTTCGATTTTGAAATCACGCGTATGATTTAAGTCCAAATTGCGCTCCACTCAGTTCAGATACCGTTATAAATAATTAACAATTATCATGTAAACTGCGGTGTCATACAAGGATTTCCCACCCTAAGAAAAGCCCTAACAACACACGTGAAAAAGTATCGTATTTTTTAGGCCCCGTCCACACGTATCCGGATAAATTTGAAAACGGATAAATATTTATCCGTTTTCAAATTTATCCGCGTCCACACGTTGCCGTTTGTGAATCGTTTTTGGTGTCCACACGGAAACGCAAAACGATTTGAAGACGATGACGTCGCCCACTGAGCATGCTCTTTAGAGCAAAACATGTGCCCGCAGTCTCGCGTATCCTGAGCCTGAATCCTCTTGGCTGTGCTCTTGGGCTTCTCAAACTTATCAACAGTGTTCGCATGGCAGAAATCCGTGACAGCATGGCCGCCACGCACGCGCATCGATATCAATATGAAGCTGAAAATAAGCCACAATGCTTGAAATGAGACTCATTAGTACCGAAATTAGAGCTTGTTTATTCGCCATGTTTTCATTAATGGTCGATCGGCCGAGAGCACGCGTTGGACTAGGTTTGAATTGTTACGTCATCGTTTTCAAATCGTTTTCAAATTTATCCGGATAAGGCATCCACACGGAGACGCTTAGCCAGCGTTTTCAAATTTATCCACTCTGGAGAGCGTTTTCAAATTTATCTGTTTTCGGTGTGTGAAAACACCGTTTACGTGTGGACGGAACCCGTAACCGTATAAATATTTATCTGTTTTCAGATTTATCCGGATACGTGTGGACGGGGACTTAACGTGTGTTGTTAGGGTTTTTAAAAGTAAAGCAGCATAAAGGGCTATTGAGTTTATATGATAAACGAAATAATACAAGGGCGCGCGTAGATATGGAATTTTTCTTCTCATGTTCAACTCGACATCTCACTCGCTCGCTGTGCTCATTCGTGAGCTATCGAGTTAAACACGAGAAGGGAAATTCCTTATCTACGCGCGCCCATGTATTATTCTCTATAAAATGTTCAGAGAAATGCGCGCGCCGTGATTGATCAGAACGAGTTCATTATATTTCCATAAAGCACGCGCCTTACGTCACACGAGTGCATTGTTGAGATATAATGCACGCACGGACGTCATCAGTACGAGCAAGCGCAATTCACGATACATTTTATAAAAGAAGTAAACAAACTTACTTGAGCATTGTTGAGTTATATAGGCACTTAGGAATTTTTAAGAACACTCGAGAAGTACGATAAGCAATCGTCCTCTGTTCGTGCTTCTCCGCACTTCTCTCCTGTTCTTAGAAATTCCCGCGTGCTTCTAGAACTCGACAAAGCACCCGGCGATTTTTTAAATTCTTTAGTAATAGCACGATCACTCGTTTCATTTGGTGCGAATAATAAGACTACAAATTGCGCTTTCCGCGCAGACTTGTGTAATTTTGTTGTCTTTGAAGAAATTACTCATGCTTAATGACACCAAATTGCACTCGAAATAATATTATTTCCTCTAAAAATGCACATTCTGATAACTCTGTTGTATCGCTAAACATTACTTTCGACGAGGGAAGTCCTTTGCGTGGACCAGGGTTCTGGAAGTTTATTAATTCGTTGTCACTCGATACCGACTATGTTGAAATATTAACTTTTAAATTTTCTAAATTTGTTACCTAGCAATTAGTAAAACGCATACAAAAACAAGGCAAAGGAAAGCGGTCGAACTGGTGAGCCATGACACCAAATAATAACAAAGGGATAACAGTCACATTTTTGCTT